CACCTCTTCAACACGAGTGTGCCGTGCTACAAAGCCATGGACACACTGTGGCAAGTGTGTTATGAGGCTGCTTACGCACGCGCATGGCTCCGGCAGTGCCTGGGTTCAAATCCCTACAGCAGCAGTTGCATCCCGGATCTTGATAATATAAATCCGGGAGCGGGGCGGGGCAGGGCAGCATGGGCGTGCGCGCGTGCGACGGCCTTGGACTTGGCGCTTGTGCGCACGTGTCATGATGCGGCTTCCTTTTTCGCCACGTGGAGCTCTCTTGCTGCAGCACCTTTTCCCGTCGTTTTTCCCGTTTTTTTCGCCCGAAAAAGCCCAAAAACAGCCAAAACCTGACTGTCGGGTTTTGCCGTATTTCGCTGCTGTGCGGTGTGGTGGGTGGGGGCGGGAACCGTTCCCGCTCTGATACCAATGTAGCGGACCCACCAGGTGTGGTGCTCCGCTAGTGACAGAGATGGAGATGGAGGAAGAAGGGGGAGCAAGTTGGCACGACGCAGCTCCCCACACAAGACTCCAACGCACGTACTCCAAAATGTGCAAGTGATGAATGAGCCTGAAAACAGACAATGGCTGGGGTATACCCCAGCGGACTGACGAGACTGGACTGGACTGGCTGGTACCGACAGAGGTACCGGCCTGGACTGGCCTACCCCGAATACAACACAGGCCTGTGAGAACAGGCCAAGGGGCTGGTCTCACAGGCCAACCCGAGGTCCGCTACAAAGGTCAACGGTGGGGACGGGACGACAGACTCATTCAGGGCGACAGCAGCAAGTGTAGTACGCCGAAGACCCTACCTTGACAGGCTTTTTCCTGGGCAGCTCGTTTTGGCAGCTTTGGGGGTGGCTATCATTGATGGCTAAATGAGAAAATCATGATCCGCTAACATGTGTCTTAACTTCGGGATTAACTTGGGATTAACTTTGGGTTTCCACGCAAAGCATGCAACTAATAACAATTGGGTTTCCACGCAAAGCATGCAACTAATAAGAATCTCATTCCGGTATAAGATGCTAAGGGACGCTGGACCCAGTTTCCAGCAGATGCAGGGGGGTTGCAGACACCGAGGGTAGAAGTTTAGCCTTTACCGGCTGGATGGTTGTACACATTCAAGCACGACGAACACTATCCTGGGCATCCCCGGTTTCCAGCAGGTGCAGGGGGGTTGCAGACACCGAAGGTAGAAGTTTAGCCTTTACCGGCTGATGGTTGTACACATTCAAGCAGGACGAACACTATCCTGGGTGGGGCCTGGCCAGTGGGATGTAGGAGCTTCGCATTTGGATGGGTAACATAGGCAGCCCTGTGGGAGAGAAGAAAGCTCGGGAACAACAACTCTAAATGGCCACAAGCCCAACAAACATTGTGCTACCAAGATGTATTCAAGGGACACTGGACCCGATTTCCAGCAGGTGCAGCTCCCGGCCAATAGATGGAGCCTCCCGGATGATGCTAGGTGTGTTTGCTCTTATCAGCACACCTAGCATCCAATCGGGCTGATTCTTAAAAAAAAAAAAAAAGATGGATCATGTACGGTTCCAAAATTGCGGCTAGATGCAGGATTGACTCTGTGAGGCAGAAAGTGGTGCAGATTCGGCGCAGAATCGATTCAGTCTTCCTCGAAGAGTGGAGATCGAGGTCAGCGGCCAATGTTTAAAATACTTTAACACAACGATCCGAGCAGATGTTAGGGGTGGTGATAAGAAATGCTAAGCACGTGTCAGTGTACATTACACATAAATTCAGTAATATACATGGAAGAACTTTCGTTTCAAATATAATAACTCAATTGCGCTCGTAAAAAAAATATAAAAAATATAAAAAAAATAAAAAAAAACTCAATTGCTGCTTATACATGTTACTTACTGTACATTACGCATGATTTCAGTAATATACATAACGATGGACGTGAGCGGCCGATGTTTCAAATAACTCTATGGCTGATTGAATTCTCCTGCCAGTGAAATGCCCCGCCAAAGTACATGTTTCCAATTTTCCGTACGCTGCACACAATTGCGGTACTGTACATGGAGGCAGAAGTCAGCTGTCAACGATGTTTAAAATAACTCAATTCTCCTGCCAGTGGAGTGCCCAAGTGCATGTCTCCGTACATTACACAGGATTTCAGTAGTATACATGAATATAGTGAGTGGCCGATCTTTCAAACAACTGAACCGCTGATTGGATCCTCGTGCCATGGAATGCCAAATACATGTTACTCTACGGTTTCGTCCAAACACTGCATGCTGGTTGTGAATGTATACAAGCTATTTTCCCCGTCCGATACAGACTAGAGGGTCTGCCATTTTCAGGGAACGAAGACAGTAGCTCCATGAATGGGCAGACAGATGGATCATTGGTGGATGTCGCCATTGAATATTTCAACCTGATTGCGAATGTATACAAGCTATCTTTCCGGTCCGATACAGTCGAGATGAGATGATGGTGGGGTGTTTTAGGGGAATAGACACTACACCCCAATTGAAAAACACTGCAACCTAATTTTGAATGTATACAAGCTGTCTTTCCGGTCGAATACAGTGGACATGAGGGTCCGCCGTTTTCGGGGAACGAAGGCAGGATCTCCATGAATGGGCAAGCGGCTGGATCATTGGTGGATGTCATTACTGAATATTTCGCCCTGATTGTGAAATGTATACAAGCTATCCTTCCAGTCTGATACAGTCCCAGCTTAGGCAAAAATGTAGCTCCATGAATGGCCAAAGGAATATATCGTTGGCTGACGGAACCACTGAACGAGTGGTCGGAGAATGGGACTGTGGGCCGCTCCCTTCAGGGCAGTGTTCCCTGGAAGCTAAACTGGGTAATGCTTAAAAAAAAAAAAAAAGGTTTCTTCCGAGTAGACTGTGAGGACCCCGGCCTCAATTTCTTTTATTTATTATTCGCAGTAGACCTATATCTTGTGAAAAATGAAAAAAAAAAAAAAAAAAAAAGGGAACACAGAAGATAGTGACCGTTACTTTCTACCACAGACAATTCTGGAACGAGAAAAGCCTGAGGAGGAAACACAGAAACGATTCCAGCGAGGGGCTGAAAAGTTAAAACAATGCAAAACTGATAAGGATCAGAAGAAAGTGACTGCCATCAGCTTGTCACCAAATCGCCACTACTGTCACTGCTGTTGCTTCTGGTGTTGAATATGGCGCAATGATGATGATTATGATGATGGTGATGAATCGATGACGATGATGACGATGATGACAATGATGACGATGAGGCCTGCGAGTGTCTGAAGAAGAAGATGAATTATTCTCTGCTGCGACGATGGCGATGGTTGTGCTGTCTGTATCTGCAGGTCATTACTAACAATCCTCAGTCATATTCCTCATTATGAGAAGTGATGAAGACGCATCGATCTCCTGAAAATGCCAACAACAGGCAATTATCTATTCATCTCAGGACATTGTAGTTGTCCTGTCTCTGAGAATCTGACGAGTATCGTTGGAGTTATTTGTCACCGAGTCTCATGGGAGTTTCACCTACTCCTTGCATAACATATCTGTACCTTCTGCTCTGGTCAATACCTACCGCAAGGACTTGAGCCGCCAATCTGTGGCTCAACAGCCAGATGCCGGCTCGATTCCTTGCAGCCAAAGGAATGGAACTGGCAATCGAGCCAGACGCCTCGGACATAACTTGGGCGAGTACGAGAAAGGCAGCGTGGTGCTGCTATCGAATTGAAATGGTAGTGTCTATTTTCTGTTAGGTTCTCCTCCCTTTTTCCATGCATCCATTCTGCGACCGCCTCTCTGGCGTGGAAGACTCACAGGCGCCCCGGTGATGGACAGGCACTGCAGCCATCCTGCACGGTGAGCGCCCCAATTTCCTCGTCTTGTAACGTGATACCTGCGGTAGGCCGCCTGGGGCAGAAGTTGACGCTCCCCCTCCCCATCCTCTCTATGTAGATGTTATCCCTCTGGTTTCCTGTGAACTGACAGCTGCAGAATCTCACCACAGAGTTTATGTGCCCTACGTATACTGCGCCGCCTCTCTCTGCTGAGGTGTTGTTCGTGAAGGCTGTCCTCATAAATGTTCCCCCTGTGCCGTCGGCGTCGTGCAAGGCTATGGCTCCTCCTCCTTTCGTTGCGCTGTTGTCACTGAAGCGGCATCGGACAAACATCATGGAGCTTTCGAGGTTCGCAACGGCCCCGCCGATAGCCGCGCTATTGTGTGCGAAAACGCTCTCGATGGCTGTCATTCTGGAGAAAGAATCGAGGAAAATGGCCCCTCCGAAACGGCTCCCGAGGTTCCGTTCGAAGGTCGTCTTCTCAATCTTCAGCTCGCTCTCGCTGACGTACACGGCTCCTGTTCTTGCTTCACTTCCAACGCTGTCTCTGATGGTGCAGTCGTCAATGACGACATCCGCACCGCCGTAATTCGCATGGACCACCGGAGCTCGGCGAGGGTTGTTGCTTCGCATCCTCACGATCTCTAGGTGTTGCAGAGTCAGCTTGGTCGGTTCGCGGAACGCAGCATACTTATTCTGGCCATCGATTACACATTTCCTCCCGGGGCAGTTGCCCGTGATCGTCAGGTCGGGGCAAGCAATGTCCTCCAGGTCGTTCGTGAGCAGAACATCGTCAGTGAGTGTGACTACCTGTTTTTCTCCAGTGCGAATAGCATCGCGAAGTTTGCTCTCTAGGTCCGAGTTAGCGGCAGAAGAGCCCACCGCGACGATGATGATGCACACTAGAAACTGTGTAGAGAGAAACCATAAGGTGAGAACTGATCTCATGCCCGGCACCGACTTGAAGAGACACACCCTGCCAGTGTTGCCACACGCCCGAATACCAAATCCGAACAGTCGCCCAGTGGTGGCGGCCATTGGAATAAACCAGCATTCAACTTTGATAAACCACCAGTACCGACCGTGTTCTGCGGCCATTAACGCACCAGGTACTTTCTGGAGGAATCGGACCGCCGAGTGGGTCTCTTGTTCATTCGACACGCCGTTAACGCACCAGGTACTTTGTGGAGGAATCGGACCGCCGAGTGGGTCTCTTGTTCTTTCGAAACGGCACAAAAAAAAGGAAAAAACGAGCCTGAGACGTCAGGAACTGGTGGTTTAAAGTTTAAACACGGACTCGATGCGAAACAGCTGCGAACAGAGTCAACAGACCTTAAGTCCCCCCCTCCTAGTGGAGAGGTTTTTGAAAATTTTCAGCTAACATTGTGAAATCCACAGCTTAACCCCCCAGTTCCTCAGAGCCATATATTGGCCGTGGGCCCGGCGTGGGGGGGAAATAAAGTGGAAGCGTTTCGACTTGGATGAATGTGGGCGCTCCAGTCCAGTCCGTGCCGCGCATCAGGGCGCGTTTACCCGCCCTGACTGTCGGAGCCTCGGAGGTACTGGTGGTTTTAACCGCCAGTACACAGCCCCAGCCTTGCAATATTTCTTCATGGCCTACTGGGTCTACTCCTAAGATTTTGCAGGACAACCGAGTGGCCGAGTACTGTGGGTGACTGCCATTCGTCTAGTATCCCACCTCTACAACAACCTGGGCTTTTAAAGGGAGGGGGGGGGGGGGGGGGGGGGAAAAGATTTTGGAGCCTCAGGGTTACCAGACCACAACCCCTAAAGAGAAAAGAAGTGTGTTAGTTGGTCCTAATGAAACACGCCCGGAACGAAAACCTCACCTACAGATTGACCATGGTTAACCTGCGGTGTTGGTAATCGTGATGGAACAAAACAGCTCACTCATTTTAAATCCTGGAACAAAACAGCTCACTCATTTTAAATCTTGTTTATACAAACAGCTCAGTCATTTTAAATCCTGGAACAGAAAGCTCACTCATTTTGAGTCCTGGAACAAACAGCTCAGAGTCACTTGCCAGCGTGTATTCCTGGAACAAACAGCTCTCTCTCATTTGGAATTTGGAATCCTGCAAGGAACAGGTCACTCTCCTTTCAGATCCTTGGAAGGAACAGGCGACTCCTTTCCAATCCTGGAACGAAAAGCTCGCCTCGTTTTGAATCCTGGAACGGAACAGCTCACTTGCCAGCATGGGGTACACAAATGAACTCCTCACTCATTTTGAAACCTGGAGGCTGGAACAAACAGCTCACCGACATATTAACCATGGTTAAGTTGAGGAGGTTAGGCAGATGATAGTAGAGATTGACCATCATGACGGTCCTTTGACTGAGGTTGAGCGAGATGGTAATCATCATCCTGCCCGCTCCTAAACGAGTCTCACTCGGTCTCGGTCTCGGTCTCGGTCTTGTTCAACTCCACTGGCCACTGACAAACCACTGTGTCGCCAGGTCTGAACCCAGGCAGTGCAAATAAATTATGTATTGTACCAGGAACATGGTCCTCATTCGGACAGGTCTGAACCCTGGCCGCAGTGCAAATAAATTATGTATTGTACNGTACCAGGAACACAGTCCTCATTCGGACAGGTCTGAACCCTGGCCGCAGTGCAAATAAATTATGTATTGTACCAGGAACATGGTCCTCATTCGGAGGGAGATTGACCTTTTTCCGAGACGCTGATCATGGTTAGCAGGACACGGTTCCACGATTCCTCTACATGAAGCTCACAAACTGCAACTTGGGTGTCCCACCATGTTCCCGCGATTTGCGATCACAAACCGAGTCCTGACGAAGGGTGAATGACTCCCTGGCAGTGCAAATAAATTATGTATTGTACCAGGAACTAGCTCCTGGTTCAGGGATATTGACGTACTGACTGAGACGCTGACCATGGTGGCACCACGGTCCCACGATTCCGCCACGAAGTTCACCAACTGCATCTTGGGAGTCCCGCCACGGTCCCATGATTGTGGAACCAAATTCACAGACCGGGTCCTGAGTGAACGACTCCCTGATAAGCTGACCCTCGTTGCAGGGCCCCACGATTGTACCAGGAACTCGAGTCCCGAGTCCTTTTATGAATGAATTTCTTGATTTACTGCTAACGAACCGGGACTGAATTGCTGGTATAATGCATATACCCTCATCCCCCTTGGATCCTAGAGTTGAATGCAACGAAAATTTGTTCTCTTTACTAGACCCGTGAATTCACAGTTACAAAAGTTGACAAAAGCCAAAAGTGGTGGTCCCCGCAGTCTCGAGATCGTATCAGAAACAGCGGTGGTCCACGGTGGTGGTCCCGTGTGTCCACCACTGTGCAGCTGTGAACGAGTTCCTGCTTTTCTATCCTGGGGGGTGGTGGTCCCGTGTGTCCACGGTCCCATGGTCCCATGCAGCATCAGAAGGACTGTCTTGCACCTCCCAACGAACACTCAAGGTCACTCGTTGAAATCGCAGTCAGCTGTGAACGAGTTCCTGCTTTTCTAATCGTGGGGAAGTCCACGGTGGTGGTCCCGTGTGTCCACGGTCCCACGGTCCCATGCGGCATCAGAAGGACTGTTTTGCACCTCCCAACGAACACTCGACGTCACTCGTTGAAATCGCAGTCAGCTGTGAACAAGTTCCTGCTTTTCTAATCGTGGGGAAGTCCAGGGTG